CAGAATGTTGCAACACGGAGGATCAGGTGTGGGTCTGATGGGTGGAAACCAGGGCCAAGCGACCCAGAACACCGCCGGCTACGGCAGCATGGGCCCGGTGGACGGGACCGCGGCCCAAGGCCCTGACCAAGCAGTCGAGGCCAGGAAACAGGACATTGGCGAGATCCTGCAACAGATCATGAACATCACGGATCAGAGCCTGGACGAGGCGCAAGCTAGGTAAGTGGAGCTCTGCAGATCCTTGCAGATGCGTTCCGCCATTTTTTAATGTGCGTGCGCGCGGGACGCGCGTCTTTTAAGGTCCTTGCACAATGCCAGGCAATAGGCAACAGGCAATAGGTAACAGAGAACAGAGAACAGAAATAAGGAATTGGAAATTATCGCCACCAATGTGCCTTCAATGTTATGGGCGATAAACATTAGTCAATCGGAACTTTTGAATTCCGTCGACTGTTTCGTACTATTTATAATTGGTCCAACTAAAAACAAAACCCAAAAGTGACCATTCTTCTTCTGTACTTTGGATTCTCGTGCTGTGAATTAAATATTGATATATTTTGAAGATTTTGTGTTGAACACAAAGTGTACAAGTCAGATGTATATGTTTATATACATGAATATAACCTAAATAATCCGAATGCCGTGATTGGCAGCAGAGAGAGAGAGAGAGAGAGAGAGAGAGAGAGAGTGGGCGCAAAATTTCCAACGTGACAGAAATTCTGTGTCTATCGTCTGTGTCTGTGAGAGGAGTGCCCATTCTGTATTGATACGTGTCTTGTATGTTTGATACATTTCTTATATTACTGGAGTTCCTTGTTCCTATTCCATATTTCTGTTCCTTGGTCCTCGTTCGCCTATTGCCTTTTGGAATTGGACCATTAATTTTTCGCTTTCTCTCCGTTGCCGCCAAAAAATATCCTTTTCCCGACGCGGATGCGTCTCTGGACCTTTCGTATTGTGTCGCCGATAAACGTTCGATATACACACGACGTTGTTTATCTCACCAACGGCACACAAGTGGCGTTACTTTGCGTTTGATTGGTTCGTCGTGGTATGATTGTTTCGATTCGGTGAAACGTACGTAGCGTCACAATGACACACGTTAGAGTGGAAATTATGTTTACGGCTCGTTAATCGGCGGATTAAAGGGGGTCTATAATGGTACTTTCGATTTACGAGGTCGACTCGTTACGTCGACTCGGCTGAAGCACCGTGTAAACGAAATTCCTATAAAAACCAAGACGAGACGCGCGTTCGCGCGTATAAAACGCGCGCTCCGCATGCTTTTATTTGCAAGTTTCGGGTTACGGTAGTTCACGGACACGGCGTTAAAGACCGCGCGTAGATTACTACGAGATATCACACAGGCGTGTATATCGCGCCTCACGTCGCGCTTTCTGCAACGTCACGCAATATGCGCGCTTCCGTATCTATTTTCTCCCTCCTATTTCGCTTAGTCAAACTGAAAGAAGGAAGGAATAAGGAAGAGTGGGAGAGAGAGAGAGAGAGAGAGAGAGAGAGAAGAGAAAAGAAAAATGCAGAATGCGCAATCCTCGTGATGAATTGTACGCTCGCGTTAATGAGACGCGACGTGTTGAACGATAAACAGTAACGCGCTACGTTTATTATTATCATCGCCGAGAAACTCGCTCGCACCCGTTCTTTACACCTCAACCGCGTCGATCGATTTATCGCACGGCACTCGTATCTCGATGACATTCTTGATTTCTCGATGACAATTTAATTAACGAGACCGCCGCCCTCTCTCGTGTAAAAGCAAATCTCCAAATCGCCGCACACCGGGCGAGATCTTGGAGAACCTGATCTCTCAAGTCGAGTATCATTTCACCCTGAACGCACAGTTGGAGCCGACTTACAATTGCAGCAGTTTGCACTTGCATCATAACTTTGCATAGATAACAGGACTTTCTTCTTTTTACTGCGCTAAAAAGTATCGCGACACCACCTTTCTAAGCTCCGATCGTACAATCCGTCCGAGAGAGGTATACGCCGCATTAAGTAAGCAAACAAACAAGCAAATGTCGAGAGAGAGAGAGAGAGAGAGAGAGAGAGAGAGGGAGGGAGGGGGAGAGGAAGAGGGAGGGGGAGAGAGCGCACTTTCGCCATAAAATTTCGCCGCATTGGTGTATGTTTCGCGCACGCGTGCAACAGAAACATACCGCTCGGCCGACACGCGCAACTCGAGCTCCTTGTATTCAAGTAGGGGGTATCGTTTGTGCATGCACACGCATTTAGCGCGGGCCCGCTCTATTCGCGTGTGGCGTGGCGTGTGCGTGCGTGTGCGTGCGTGTTAAGTTATATTAAGTACCTGTCCGCGTGTTTGATGCCCCTGCAAGGGGGCACCAGATGTGTCTTCCACGAATACGCGCATTTTACGCGGGGAACGAACAGAGCTGTTTTGTAATCTCACGGCTGGTGTTAAACGCCCCGGCCATTTGAATACGGCCCTGAATTAATACTCGACGTACTTATGAATAATATCGAGTTGCGCTAATTTCGTTCGACGGCAGTGCGCGCGCGATTCGATGTTGAATTCGTATACCGAGCGCGGTCGCGGTGCTCCTTTTCTCCGGTCGCCCGCGTCTTTCTTTGCGTTGTTCTTTGCGTTGTCAGCCAATTTAGAATCAGTCGACGAGAATTTTGGGACGAATAGACATCTGTCTCAGCATTCCGCCGATACGATCGTCGTGCTTGCATCTTGCTCCTTACACAAAGTCTGTCCTTTACAGATGTATTTTCTCGGCCGCAACTCGGATGCGATCCTGCCGATGTCTCATCATCTCTGATGATTGCATTCTCTTTTTTCTAGTAATATATTCTCGATGCAGATCTTTTCCCGAAAAGGTTTGGCGATGGAGGATTTTTCGTCTTTTGCTTTTGCAACGCAATCTCAATTATTACCGACTACTACGCCGACGACGCAACATTTGCTCATATGCGTTTTTTGTTCGTTTGTTACGCAGGAAACACACTCTCAACTGCCACAGGATGAAGCCCGCCTTGTTCTCTGTTCTATGCGAGATCAAAGAGAAGACAGGTGAGCGACACTTTGTATACCTTCCGCCTACACTTCTTGCGACAACGACAACTCCGTCGCGGCGTTCGCACGCGTTTTGCCGGCGCCCCTTTGGTCGGCACGAATCGTCGCGCCCGACTCGCGCGACATTAAACTTTACGCACGAACGGCCCGCTTATTTTGCAGCGCGCTAACAAATGAATGGAATTTTTAAATGAGCGCCAATTCGAGCGCGATAAACCCGCGCGTTTTCGCGCGACGACCGAGGAGACCGACTCCGTCGCCGGCGCGGCGGCGTTTCGTTCGTATCGGCCCCGGCGACGAGTCTCGGGTTATTAACACGAGGTAGGTGTAAATCGTGTACTTGACGCGACACGCGGAAATCGAATGTTGCGGGGATGTGTATTATTATTTCTGCAGCGTTATTGATTGTATCTGCGCGCGAGCGCGCGAGTAGAGTTTCATTCCGTTCCTCCTAGCGTGGCGCCTCGCGCGCGTGCGAGTTATTGCACGTCATCAATCATCGCGGTCTTATTTAAAGCGTTGCGACTTTTGACCGGCCGCTCGGTTGTTTGGGGATTGATTTTTAAGATGCATTTTTAACATCGCGGCACCGCGCTCGGAAGCGCGCGAGCGGTAATCTCGGCCGTGATCTCACACCGTGATTCCGCCATTGTGCCGCGGCGCGCAGAGACACCTTCGCGGCTCCGCGATACACGGAGAAAGATTGATACTCGAAATAGCGATTCCTATCTCGCGATATTCCCGGCGCGCATACGCACCCCTCGCCAACGTTCCCGGACGGGAGCACCCTCGCGCGCGACCCCTGCGCCCATTCGAGACTCGTAAACATAATTTTTATGCGATGTTTGGATTATTTTTACGCGCGGATCAAGAGGCCGCGAAACGCGCAATTATTTTCGTGCCTGATCGGAGGAGCAGGGAGAGGAGGGAAGCGAGAGCTTCCGAGGGGAAAGATCGCCGGCGGGGGCGAGAGAAAGGAGAGAGAGAGAGAGAGAAAGAAAGAGAGAGAGAGAGAGGTTGCTCGCCGGCTACGTCAAAAGTCTCTGCCGTCCGGCCGGCCGGGGGTGGAAGGACCGTACCACGCCCCTCGTGCAAAACTACCCTCTTTTCACATCACTCCTTTGCGCGCGCGTGCACGCATATTCACACATACACACACACACGTGTGTGTATATATATCCACGTGCAAGCCACGAGGGCGTCGTTGCGCGAGCATAAACTGCATAAGCATCAACATTCGTGTGTGACGTTTTATGCTACTTTGAAAATATTCGGAGAGCACACAGGCTGTACGTTGAAAGGGGACGATTCTCCTCCTCCCCCAATCTCTCTCTCTCTCTCTCTCTCTCTCTCTCTCTCTCTTTCTCTCTCTCGTTTCCTACCGTCGCCCGAGAAAAGCGAGAGATCGCCATTGGTCGTTTTCGGAGCAACGTGGTCGCGATCATCTTTTTGCGGACGCGTCGGCAGCGCTATGCATCTTTATAACGCGTATTTTATCGCTCTTATTGTTTCTCTCTAGCTCTCCTCCCTCGCGCGAAGCGTTAGCCCGGCTCCGGTTATATCGGGATTTTAAACTGCGCGCTTTGTCCGAAAGCCCAAAGTCGTTGACCTCGTATCTCACGTGCAAGCAACGCCGAGTGTCACCGAGTACCGAGTTCCGAGAGCTTTTATTGGAGTTCGATTAAAAGTAGTGTTGTCAAAAAAGCGAACAAGGAGACTAAAACAACGCGATCTCGAAGGGCAATTTAAACGCTTCGCTCTGCGACGAGCGCGCGTAGGAGCTTGATTTGGCTGCTCTATCGTAAACAAAAAGGGCATCAAAGTATGATGAGCACTCGAGACGATGAATCGTTTTAACGGTCCCCTATATCTTTTACGAGTTCCGGGGCTCTGGCAGTGTGCACGCTGCGCGTGTGCTAGTGTTCCACGTATAGACGTGTTCCGCACACATGCGGAAAAATGCTGTACCATGAGAGAGAAGAAAAAAGCGAGGGAAGGAAGGAGAGAGAGAGAGAGAGAGAGAGAGAGGGAGGGAGGGAGAGAGAGAGAGAGAGAGAGACACGTGTCTGTTCCCTCAGACGTCGAAAAATTAATTAATACAAAATGCAAAATTTTTAATTTGGAACAACGGTGATGATGCAAATTGTGCTCAGCAGTAATGTTAGTAAAGGCCGCACAAAACAGTAATCAACATACAATAATGAAACCAACTTCTTGACCAATCTTTCTCTCTCAGAAGTTGTAGAAAGGAGGGGAGGTGGGGAGTGCTTCGTCGCGCGATGGGAAAAAAAGAGAGACGCGAGATAGTCATAGTCGAGTTTATGGGCGATGGCTGACGAGGCAGTGAAAAAGTACTAAACCGAGAGCAGCAGATAAACGCTATGTTAAGCAGACCGTTTTACCAGTCATTTAATATAATCGGCTCTCGCGAGTGAGCAGCGCGTCGCTCAGATAACTTGGAATCAGGGCCGTACACGAAGCGGGACTCTCGTATCTTCCCGGGCCTTACCTCGCCGACTTCTCTTATCCGTCGGTCGATGACTAACGACGTTACGCGTATAATAACGCAACAGTGTGAACGCTGCGTAATGAATGAGAGAGTTGGGGACGGTCGTCGTGTCACACAACACTGAAATTTAATTCCTTCGACTCGAGTTGTCGACGAGTCTTTTTTCTCTTTTTTTTTTTTTCTTTTCTTTTTTTATCACGTGTTCCATGTAGGACGCGAGTATAAGTCGCGCGCGATTCGTCGTTTAATTCGTATTAATAGGATGTTCCACTTTCACGAACATGGTGATCTATCGAGCTCCGGAGTCAGTCACAGTCTCCGACCAGCGATTTGTCACAGTCGAATTGGAAGAGGCGCTTCCCGAAGTGCACTGATCTTCGAAAACCTGTTTCGTTCGGCTTGAGGGGGGCGGAGAGAGAGTATCGCTCAGGGCGATTTCCCGTGGGACGCGCGTCGCGAGATCCCGAATACCGAAAGACAGAAAAAGATAGGCAGAGACGGAAGGCTGGCCGAAATCCGCGGGATTTCTCGAGTCGCCTTTCAACCGCGCGCGCGCGCTCGTCTCGATCCCTTTTTCCGTTCCTCGCGCTCGCGCGGAGCGCAGCAACAGCAGCGGCAGCAACCCTTGGTTGCGTAGCAGCAGCTGCATAATAATCCAGATGGTGGCACGCCGTAACCTCTCCAAGGATCGGTGGGTCGAGTTGAATCGCGTCGCGACAGTGAAAATCCAGTCAGCCGCGGCGTGCAATTGTAAACAGCCATTTCAGGTAATTGTCGGGCGAGCGGAATCGTCGAACGATCAACTTTTCGTGATGCGTGAGCGATAAAACAAAGTTAATCCGCCGGCAAGCAGATAATTCGGATCTGTTTGTTGAATAATAATCATCCGCGTCGTTGCCATTAATCACGATTCGGCCAATATTGATTTCGCACAGCACGGCGCGGTGCGGTGCGGCGCGGCGCGGCGCGACGCTCCGATTGGCTGACTTTGCCCGCGGCTCGTCATCGCGCCCGACGCACGTGCGTTTCCCTGCGTCTCCCGCGTAGGATGTTACGCATGTGGAGATTGTCTACCTGTCGATTTACCGGCGATTAATTTAATCGCGCCGCGCAGCACCGCCATGCCGTCGCGCTCGTTCTCGCGATTTCTCTCACGTGGGCTGGAAACAATGGTAACAATCCGCGCTCGCGACTCCTAGCGCAACAATTAAAAATCCATACCCGATTTGGCTGGCAGCCAACAGTAATTCTATTTCCTTCCTCGCACCTATACAATACATGTGTGATGCGCGCGCGCGCAGAAAGTATTCCTACTATTGTTGTTACAACACCTTGTTATGCAACGTCGCCCGATATAATTTCGATATATGAACACACTGTTCATTGGGCATACTTTGCTCCAAAAGTGTCGATATAGTAGCTCATTAAAAGAAAAATATTGAAGAAGGAGCGAAGGAACATTCGATTTCAGTCGTAAAGGAGGAATTAATTTTATATAAATCAGAGATACACGCGCGATACGTATTAAAATACGTATTAATCCGAAAGGTGAAATGAAGCCGAGAAGAAGAGAGTTCACGTGAGAGAGAGAGAGAGAGAGAGAGAGAGAGGGGGGGGGAGGGAGGGAGGGGAGAGAGAGCGTCGACTCTTCGTAGATTTCACTGTAACCCAACTGGCCGACCTTGATTTCGCGGAGCGCATTTCACGCCGGATTCACCCTCACCCTTATCTCTCGTAATTAATGGTTCCGTTTGCTTCCATTTATTACGCGGCTACGACATCGAACTTTCCTCAACATGCCGGATGGAACACACTCGCGGGAGCGCCTTCGAGTCTGTCCGCACGATGCGCGAGCTCGATTAAAAATGCACTCGGTACATTTCCCTCGTTGGATATGCGACGCAATTATCATTACAAATTTAGAGAACGAAACGACCTTTTAATGAGTGGAGTCGACGCGAGGCGTCGGCTGGAGAAAAAGTTACGTCGCGGAAATATATAAGACGTAAGTAAGTGCTGCTAACGTTTGAAAAATAATCGTCCTTCGGGGGGGAGCGGGAGTTAATCGTGCGCGACCGCGTTTTTGTTATTGTTGTACAATGTATACGAAACGTGGCTTCAGTTTTCGAGAGGAGTTGACGCCGCACGTTCCGGCTCCAGCTGGAATGTCGTTCCCCTAGCTTCGCTTTCCTTTTCTTCTTGTTCCCGCGCCTTTCGTGCTCTCTTCCCCTCTCATTCTATCACTCTCTTTCTCCCCCTCTCTCTTTCTCTCTCTCTCTCTCTCTCTCTCTCTCTCTCCCTCTTACTCACTCGCTATCTTCCCGTCTCTGTCTCTTCTTCATCTGCGATACTCGCATGCAGATGGGATACCAGCATCCAAGGTGAACCGGCCCCTGGTCCCTCTTCTGTCCTGCTTCCTCCCCCCTCTCTCTTTCTCTCTTTCTTTCTCTCTCTCTCTCTCTCTCTCTCTCTCTCTATCTCTCTCTCT